TATGAGTTATTACATTGCTAAAAAATGTGATTGTTATAATTCTAAAGCAAAAGCAAATCCATGACTTAATGCCTTACAGCAGCCATTCCCAAACTCAGTAACACCGAGGCCCCCTTAAAAATCTGACGGGTCTGCGTGGCCCCCCAAAATAATAACCAAGAAGACAACATTAAGAATAGGCTCTTCTGGTTATTTTATTTTGGGGAAATAGCCTTTGCTACAAACATTGTAACACAAAAATGATTACAGTGGATTATTCAAGTCAAATAATGAACACAAATATTTTAATATTACAAACAAAACATTATAAATTTAACATTAAATAATTATATATTTTTTTTTATGACCTCCCGCGGCCCCCCTGCAGTACCCTCGCGGCCCACCAGGGGGCCGCGGACCCCACTTTGGGAGACACTGCCTTACAGAGTTAAAAAGGGCACACTTACTCTGTTGCACTTGAAATGAGAAGTGACAAACACTATGTTGCCAGTAGGAGGCAGTGTTGACACTCTTTGTGGTCCTCCTGGGCTGGTTATAGGCTAAACAGCTGAGCCAGGAATTTGACTTTAGAAAATAAGAGTTTATCTGTAAATTTAGTGTGCAATGGGTTTTGTAGACATTTTGTAATCTTTTTTTTCTTACAGTAAGCTGTCTCCGCAACATAATTACTTTTGGAAGAAAAAAGTTTGGCCACAAATGCAGGAAGGTGCAGGGACGTGGTATGCCCTGGTCTTGTCCTCAACACTTGAATTATGGTCCACAGCCTGATGGCACATTTGAATCTCTTACACAAGTAAAATATAATTATATTTTTGTCTGCCTTTTGACTGCTGCTTGGTAATGCTTTTATCATTTTTACTGCCAAATGCTACATATAAAATGCAGAAGGGTTTTCTAAACTATCTTCACCCTCAAGCTCACTGCTAGAGGAGCCTACATTTTGGATGAGCAAAAATATTTACTGAAAATAAGTAATCTACTGTCATAAAGTCACACATTTAAATCGCTATTCATTTATATAATAAGCAACCATTGTAAAGGACTTGGTTGTGTGAATATACACCTAAACAGATGCAGCAAGTAAAACTTGTTCAAGATCGTTAAAAGTTAATTTATTTCTGCAACTCATGTGAAATTAATATATTATACAGACTCATTACATGCAGAGTGACATATTCTATGCCTTGGTTTGTTAAAATGTTGATGATTATGTCTTACAGTCCATTCTCAAAATATCCACATTTTCTGGGATGTTTTATTTGTGTTGTTTTTACAGCCTTTGTACCATAATCATCGACATTATAACAAATAACTGCTTGTTATATCGTGTTATGAGGCTGTCCCATATTACTTTCACATTGTAAGTGGACGATATTCTAAATTTCCAAGTTTTGCTTGTACTTGTGTCAAGTCAAGATGAATTCAAAGCATTGTTAAAATAGTGAATAGACAACAAATATAGAAACTGAGTAAGCAATGCTGAGAGGCATGGAAATCACTAATGACATAATAACACCATGCTGTAAAAGCCCACCTATGAAGCCGACCTGCGTCCTTAAGGAGCACAGTGTAATTGCCTTCTTCACTCGTTTAGCTAATTGATGAGGACTGCATGACTTCTTAGTCTGCTTTCACTTGTTAGACAAGCTGTCAATACGCTCTCAAAATCTATTCACCTCTGCATAGGTCAAGCATCCCAGTCCGTGTGCATGAATACATTAGGAAGATTCAGCGTGTCAGAGGTTTCAAAGGGCACCTGGTGTTTAGAAAGAGGTGTTTGCAGAAATAATCTACACTAATATGTGCATTTATGTCAGCACCTTTTCAATCTAAATAACATAGATAACATAGAAATAAGCACAGTTTGTATTTAGTATCGTGTTGAATAACTGCCAAGCTGAAATGAAATAAAATTGTGGGGACTGTTGAAAGTGTGTTTCCCTTGCATAGACATGTTTTTACTCATGTTCCAATCTGGACAGACTCAAGATAAGATTAGAGTGATAATTTTGGAGTTTGCTTCCATGGATATATTGTCGCTACATGTTTGGGCAATTAGACCTGGCGTACGCATGATGTGGTACGAATATATTTATTGCATGAAAGGTACGATAAGGTTTGCCAATATTGTATGACATATGCAGGAGGGAATTTCAACTCTCTTGGGCCTAAACCCTGGTGGTGGTGGAACATGAACCGATGACATGATGATTCCCCCACTGATGAGGTGGTGATGGGGAGGAGGCGGGCGGCTGCACAAACAGCAGATTGATGCAGGGACTGAGGTCAACTGGAGGCATCGTTTAAATGCAGTCATAGGTGATGCTGATTTGCGCCAATGTGTGTCTGTGCAGATGAGAGCACTGCAAAAAAATATATATGTAGCAATATATGCTTGAATCAAGTGTTATTTTTATTAATTTGAGTATATTCTGACTGTCTTAGAGCAATATTTGCCACTGGGACAAAGCTATTTAGTCCCAAGTCAAGAACTGTTGCTGTATTTTAACGTATATTTTTGAAACAAGATAATTTTGCTTGTCCCATTGGCGGATCTTTTTGTAGGCAGTCAAATTTCGAATCATTTTGCCAAATTTGAGCAGATTTGACTTATTTTTCATCACTTTTTGCAGTGAGGCTGATGGCGGTGAGCTCAGGCCCAGGTGTGTATCAGTGGGAGGACCCAGTGTGGCAGGAGAGATAGCGAGCACTCAGAAACGTTCCCGCAGTCTGAATATTCGCTTCTACCGCATTATTTATTTAACTGAATGCAATGTAAATAAACAGGTGTGTCCATTATGTTTCCGATAATTGAGATGCCGCATTGGCCTGTTTTCGTTATTCCGCTTAATCTGGATCATCTGTCATTCTGTGGTGAATGTTGATATATCTCCAGCAGCACTATGGCGTCTTGTTGTCCCTGGTCCGCGCATCCTCCCTGGGCACCTTCACATTGCTTAGAAAATAAAGTGCGAAAGATAAGAACTCAATAAGTCAATATTTGTGGAGGATGCATACGGTCGCCTCAGGTGGGCGGATGTATTGGTAGGCTCATCATCTCGGCTTATATAATTGAGACACACTTTTCTCCCCATTCTCCATTCTATTTTAATATCTTCAGAAATGTAACCTAGAGGCAAAAATGCAATGGATTTATGTATATTTAATCATGTCTTTTGTGGATTTTTTGAGGAGTGAGATAGTGTGAGTGTGTATGTGTGTGTGTGTGTTTAACAATGCCTAAAGATTTTTAGCAGCTCGAAACGTCATATTCTGCTAAAACTTTCTTAAACATGTCAGGATTTGAGTATGTTGTTGAGTGATTCATTTCAAACGCATTATGAAACAGCTTACTCTCTAATCTCTCCCCAGAGACCATTAAAATGCGGCTCAAACGTACTAATCTTTCATTCAGGAGCACGACTTTATTTATAGATATGCTTCCATCTAGTGGTCTTCGTAAACAAACACGCATATATTGCCATTGAAGCAGGAATCAAAGTCGTCTACACATCAAGTGGAAAAAAATAAACATTCTATCGCACAAAACAGTGCTATATGTTTTCAGGAGCCAGGGCAGTAAAACATACTGAGTGACTTGACGGTTGATACAGAGGTGGGAAGACAGAGGAACAGTGGTCCATTACTTTGACAAAGTGCTATTTTGATCATTGCAGAATGGCTGGCCCTTCACAGCTTGTGTCAAATCAGAAAATATAGTGTTGACAGCCACAAGAAGCAGAGAACGTAGTTGCCATCCCTTTGTGGGATGGCACCTACAAGCACACAGGTGTCTTTGTTTTATAGATGAAGGACATAGTAGAAGAGAAAACTGATGTATGGGATGAATTGTAATTATTTTTTATTTGAACAACTGAATGACAAGTTTAAACACAGTGTAAAAATACAACAAGAGCTCAGGACAGGAGCTCAGGACAGGAGCTCAGGACAAGGCAGAAGCACTGGAGCTTGTTCAGGCCTTTATCCCCTTGTGCAGGGGTGTCCAAACTTGCAGGCCAAACGCTTGGATATATATGTGGTCGTCTTCCTTGCTAAGATAAAGCAGCAATTGCAATCATAATCGGAGTGTCATCCAGCCAACTTCAGCTACAGGCGTGGTGAAAAACACTACAAGCCTCTCATTGACTTTATCGGGATGAATCACATGCGTTTTTGTGAATGAATATGGACATGACATCATAACTCATTTCAAAGCTCAGTATAACAGTTTTACATTCCGGGTTGTCGGCCACTGGAGAATTTTTGTGAACCAAAGTGGCCTTCTTCCTAAAAAGTTTAAAAGCTTGAGCAAAGATCTTCATTTGAGATTGGAGATTCTATTAACACAGGTGAGCGATAAGATATTTGGTTTCGTGCATGCCACTGAAATTAATCAGATTGCATGGCTCAGCATCAAAACGTTGTGGACTTTCCAAGCAAATCAGAGCCAGTTCCAGGCTCTAACGTATCCCATGACAAGACTTGCTGCATTGCACTGGCCAACTGGAAAGAAGAGCATACTTCAATGTCCGGTTTCAACTTTCCTTTTCTATACATGCTACCTCTGGAAAATGCATCATACATTTTGACGTGTTAATGTTTGATTGCAATTGTCACAAGACTGGTTTCATGGCTCAAATCCTTTTATGAAGCGCGTGTGACGTACAGCAGAAATCTGTTCAAGTGATGCTGTCTTAGCATGACTTCTTTCTCAGTGCCTTGATCTAAGTCCAAATTGATTTCAGTGGGAGACGTGTCAGCTTTCAATCTTCATAAAGCCTTGTTTTACACTGTCTGCTGTCACCTGAGGAGTAATTAGCCCGATGTGACCGCGAGCTGATGCCAGTGTCAAGTCCTGTTACGCACAACGCAACGCCTGGAATTACAAACCAGGAACAACAGTGAAGAGAGAAGGAATTTTATCTACCTTGAGATGATTAACAAAATAGAATCGATGATTGTTTGATTTTGGCCACGCTTTTTTCTGAACTTCTCAACCCATGAATCTGAGTTTCTACAAGAGAAAAGTGAGGGGAGTTGAGGACTAAAGGCACTGGATAGTAGAATGAACATAGCACAGTTCATTTTTGCTAATATCCAGACTGTATGTATGGCATTTTTTCAAGTATTTTGCCAGCCATGCCATCACAGCGAAATGGGAATTTAGAAAGAGAAAAAAACCAAAACTGTTTTAAAGCCTGTTGCTTACATGTGGGTCAGGTAAAGGAGGAAATAAAACTACACACACATCACCCTGAGGGATACTTAATAATCACATAATGGCAGTGAAACAAGCCGTGGAGCTCTTACCATCAGAGTATGGTCTGTTGCCCGCTCTGCCCTTTCCTTTGTAAAGTTGTCCTTGTAAATAATAAGTTGGAAATTGTCTTTTCTCACAATGGATGATAAGATTGCTGTATTCGGTTATACTGTAATGCAATTCTCTTTGATCATATAGTAGCACCATGGCTTTACAAGAAATACTTCAAAAAAAGTCTTTGAAAAAAATAAAACAGGTTCAAATATCTTGCAGAAACATCACAATTTGTCGACCCACCATTTGGTCTAGAATTACCAGGGCTGCAGTATGAAAATCCCTATAGAAACTAACATTAACATTTACTCCTTTATAATTATGATACTGACCAATCTTGTCACCACAAAAACAGAGGCATGAGCGAAGTCAAAGTAGTGCCAATTCAGGGTAAATGTTTTAAAATATATGAATAAGCATACAGTCCTCACAGTGCACTTAGAATTGATGGTTATACATTGTACAGGAAGGACAGAGACGCATTTGGAGGAGGCGTTGCTTTCTACATTAAAGACACTGTTAATGCCAAACTACGCCCTGATCTAATGCAACAAACCATAGAAAATATATGGGTTCAGATACAACCTCTCTATGGAAAACCAGTCTTAGTTGGGTGTATCTATAGACCACCAAATTCAAATGTATTTTATACTGACAACATTTGTGATATGATGAGTAAAATATCTGAGGAAAACAAAGATTTATTCTTATTAGGAGATATGAACATAAACTGGCTAGATATGAAATGCCCAATTAGGAAGAAAATGTTTTCATTATGCTCTGCGTGCAATTTACACCAATTAATCATGGTTCCAACAAGAGTTGGGACCTATGCTGCAGGCGTTACATCTTCTACTTGTATTGATCATATTTATACAAACGTGCCTAAATCCTGTAACGATGTCATTTCGAAACCTGTTGGTTTTAGCGATCACCATCTTGTGGCTGTGAATAGGAAAATTAAACCTCCAAAAGGTGTACCTAAGATTCTTAATAAAAGGGCTTTCAACAAGTTTAATGTTAATGACTTTTTATCTGACCTTGAGAAAATTGATTGGGACGACATCTGCTCTGAACGTAACCCAGAGTATGCTCTGTTCATGTTTAACAATACGTTTTGTCAACTTATTGACCAACATGCTCCACTAAAGAGGAGAACTGTTAGGTCAAACAATGCACCTTGGTTAGATACTGAGTTAAAGGCTGCTATGTCACAGAGAGAGGCTGCTAAGACGACTGCTGTAAAATCGGGCAATCAATTGGACTGGGCTAGGTTCCGTAAATTAAGAAACTCTGTGACTAAATTAAACTTGCTTAAAAAGAGACAACACTATATAAGAAAATTTAGTGAGGTTAGTCATGATTGTAAAATGATCTGGAAAACATTTAATTCACTTACTGGGCGGAATGAAATTTCAACTCCTGGACACATTGAGACTGATAATGTATGCATTTTTAAACCTGATGAAATTGCCAATTACTTTAACCGTTACAACAACGATAAAATACAAAGATTGAAAGCTAACATGAGTGTTGGTGAGTCTGCATCTTCTTCATATATTATTAAAAACATAATCATGGACAATAAGCAATGTGTTTTTGACCTAACTGCTGTCAGTATAGAAAAAGTGCGAAACCTTCTGAGTTCCTTGCCTGAAAACATGTCGGCTGGCCTAGACAATATAGAAGGCAAGTTTCTGAAGCTAGCTGCCAAGTTTGTGTCACGCCCTTTATGCCACATATTTAATAGATGTTTAAGGAGTGGCGTCTTCCCTTCCCAATGGAAAAAGTCTAAAATTATCCCTATACCAAAAAATAAAAACACATTATTTAACGGGGCAAACAGTAGGCCCATAAGCATATTACCTGTTTTAGGGAAAATTATGGAGACGTTAATACGTGACCAAATACAAACATATTTTGTTGACTGCAGCCTGCTAACTAAGTTCTAGCATGCATATAAACCTAATCATTCCACCACTACTGCATTGGTCCATATGATTGACAACTGGTACCGGGAATTAGATAAAGGTGGCTTTGTTGGGACTATATTTTTAGATTTTAGTGCAGCCTTTGATCTTATCAATCATGACCTTTTAATTGCCAAGTTAAGGTGCTATGGACTTTCAACAAGATCGTTGTTTCTTATAAAGGATTATCTAACAGACCGGAGTCAGCAGGTCTATTATGATGGTTCCCTGTCTAAAGAATCTGATATTCACTGTGGCTTACCTCAAGGCAGCTGCCTCGGCCCACTCCTCTTCTCTGTTTACACTAATGATTTACCTTATGTACTAAACAAAACTGAAGTTGTCATGTATGCTGACGACTCGACCATGTATTATTCCAATTCAAATGTGAATGAAATATCAAATGTATTAAAAGATGATTTGGCCGAGGTCCTCAAGTGGGTTAAAAGCAACAACATGATTTTAAATATTTCTAAAACAAGATCTATGCTTGTTGGAAGTAAACAACGTCTACATGAAAAGTGTCAATTAAAATTGACTATGGAGGGAGCCGAGTTAGAGCAGGTTGAGCAAATTAAACTTTTAGGTGTTATAGTGGATCACCATCTCTCATGGTCACCGCACATTGACCAGGTGATTAGTAAGATGGGTAGCGCTATTGGTGTGGTGAGAAGGTGTTCTTATTTTGTACCTACAACAATTTTGAAGCAGGTGGTCCAATCCCTCGTTTTATCTAATCTTGAATACTGCCCCATTATATGGTCTGCTGCATGCAACACAGATTTATCTAGATTGCAAGTTGTACAGAACAAGGCTGCAAGACTGGTTTTAAATTGTTCTTATTTTACCAGTATAAACAAAATGCATACAATTTTATCCTGGCCTTTGGTTCACAATAAGCTACAGTATAGCCTTTTAATATTTCTGAAAAAAGCAATACTTACTGGTGAACCAATTTCAATGTTTGAGAAAATCACATATGTACATCAGATTCACACCCATTCTACTAGGCAGGCTCAAAATGCTGACTTGGTCGTCAATCGGCCCAGAACAAAATCATTGAAAAGGACTGTTATTTTCAGAGCGACTCAACTTTGGAATGAGCTTCCTAGGGAGATGAGAGATCAAACTTCTCTACATATTTTTAAAAGAAAACTCAAATATCAAATGTACAATGCATCATTATAATGCATGGCTTCATGCCTTGATGCCTTGTGTTGTTTACAGATGCTGACTTGGCAATTGATCTAATTGATCTATTTGATCTATGCTTTTAACATTATGGTAGTGAATTCATGTATTGTATTGAATAATGTACTGTATTAATGAATGTATTGATTTTTTAGTTTTTTTATTTTATTTTATTTTTTGTAATACAGTCGTCTTAACTGGGACCCCAGGAAGATTAGCAACCACTTTGGTGGAAGCTAATGGGGATCCCCAATAAACAAATAAACAAATAAACTTTGTAATTGACTGCTTCACAGACACTTGCCTCTTTTAAACCTTGATGAAATTGAATACACAACCCCATTGCATGGGATAAGGGAACAAAGTAAGAGGGAAAACAAATATTGATCAAACAAAGTGGAACTTCAATAATTAAAACTTGTATTATATACGATACATCAGTCAAATGAACCTCAGTTGAAAACAATTCTTCAACCAAAACCAATGGTCACACATTGTCATTATTATAGATAGCAGAATAAAGTTTTATGTGGTAGCACTTCAGGAGTCAATAATTGTTTTAGTCACAGGAAACTACAGTCCGAGAGCAGGCTTCTCTAAGTATATCTCATAATCTTTTGCTTCGAGGCACCCTCAACTGTAAACAAAGCCATTGGAGGTAGGACCCTATTTATGAGAAATGAACACACGGTGGTATCCTCCAGTGGCTTGGCCCCAGTCGGTGCAGCGCTGAATGTGTGTGAGAATTGTATCTTGAGGTGATATATTCTGTGACTAAGACCATTTAGATTAGTCATTTATATCAGCCATAAACATCAGCCCTCGAGCTACAATTAATAAACACCGTGCATTGCTTACTGGATAATAGCAGATCGAGGCTGTAACTGCTCGAGTGTTAAAAGAAGAAAGAATACAAAACAGAATTATAGGATATACATATTTATAGTTATTATTATCAGTAGTGTTTTTATGTGACCTATGGAGATCATGCCCAGCCATATGAAACACATCAATGTCAAAAACGTTATTCATATATGACTTCTATTTTTATACTTTTGATCATCTAAATGTGTCGCTCTTATGCTATAAGAAATGTTGCAAACAAATAAGATTCTTGGCTAATTAGTAACAGAGGAATACAAACATAGCTTCCTCCTAAACATTGAACACTTTGTGTATCTTCATTTTAAGTGCTGTATTATGTTTTTATTATATTTTATTTTATGGACCACCAGGAAGAATAGCAACAAGTAACACCTAACATAATATGTATTTTACACTACTTAGAGCAGGGGTGTCAAACTCATTTTGATCCGGGGGCCAAATACAACCTAATTGGATCTCAAATGGGCCGGACCAGAAGATGCTCCACAAAAATACCCAAAAACGGGTCCAACTTTTTGTGCACATAAACACATTTATATAAAAGTTCCTTTAAAACACTGTCCTTTAATACTCGCTCAGTTTTAAATGTAAATCTGTTACAAACTTAAATGTAACAGTGAGTTTTTCATAGTGCAAATAATGAAATGTATTTACAATATTACATTGTAAATGACATTTCACAATATTTATATTAATAAATGTATGTTAGCTTTGTGTTAAGGCTCATTACAGAGAAAACTTGCTCACAAAGGTAAAGTAGGTAGATAGAAAAAAGCACATCATCATTATCATCAGAGAGAAAGTATCAAACTGACCATGATTCAGTTGAAATGAACAAAACAACTTCCATAACGGGATCTATTCTTAAAGACTGCAGCAGTGTCTTTGTGTAAAATACAAATGTCCAAAAATCATCACCTCCATTTGCTGCTTTGTCACTACACCTGTTTTTACCATCGGTACCAGGCAGACAGCGTAGGACCAGTCCACACTGTCCAACAGCACCAGCAACAACAGCAGAACCAGGAGCAGCACCAGCAACAACAGCACCAGCAGCGCTCAAAACTCCTCTGATAGTTTCAGTAACACCACAAATGAATATGTGACATCAGTAACATCAGTCTCTTATCAATGGCAACATGTTGGTGACAGTGAGCGGTTTCTCAGACTATGACTGCAGTCTGTATGTTTTCAAGCCACGTTCAGACCGGATCATGCGTCGCGTCGGGTTTAAATGCAAAATCTATGGTGACGCGCGTTGCAGCGTCAAAACGCACGGACCTCCCGGCACGCACTTAGGGACTGCTGAGTAGAGCCGCACGGACTTGGCGGGAAAGTGAAAGGGGAGGAGCAGGAGCGGAAAATGGACGCCCACAGGAGATAAACTTTGCTCAACTTTTCCTCGGGACGTTCGTGCAGCGACCAATCAGAGAGCCGCAAAGTGGGGGGACATTGGTGGTCTGAGCGAGCAGACTGAACATACTGTAAACAGCCAAAACAGGAGCTATACCAGGACTAAACCTGGGCTGACAATGGGGGACTGTATGCTTGTAAATATACGCTTTGTCATGCTCCCGTGACCTTATGCAACTGCTTCGAGTGTGTTCGCCGATGCGGAAATACCATTTAATAATACAAAAAAACGAATGCCGCACCTCCATGAACACATACTACTGTTGTATAAAGCCCGTGGAATGTCTGTGAGCAAAGACACGCTGCAAAGCTACATATTGGAGAAGATCTGTACACAAGAAGCCGCTAGCATAGCTCTGTTAGCATTAAGGCGCGTTCAGACCAAAAGCTTCAAAAATCTTTTGACGCGCTTCAACTGACGCCGGGATAGTTTTGTCATTTTGGTGCTTGAAGCTTTTGACGCGAGTGACGCGCCTGACGCCGGTGGGAGGAGCTTCTCTGTTGTCTGTAGTCAGGACAGCGGTGGATTTTTCAATGAGCAGCGAGCCTTTATTTGTTATTTAAAGCAAAATAACGTTGTTGTAGGGCTTCAACAAAACATGTTCTGGGTTCACCACAGACTTGAGAGGCTGCAGTGTTTGCAGAGTTCCGTCATTTACTCCAGGAGCTGCGTACGGAGGAGTTTCGCTTTCAGCGGTACTTCCGCATGTCACTCGGCCAGTCTGAGTTCTCAAACCCCGGAGCTCGCCTCTCCTCGCCTCTCCCTGCCTCTCCCCGGCTCTCGCTCGCCTCTCCCTGCCTCTCCCTGCCTCTCCCCGCCTCTCGCTCGCCTCTCCCCGGCTCTCCCTGCCTCTCCCCGGCTCTCGCCCGCCCGGAGCTGCCTTGCTCTGAGCCAGACTCATCGTCAGCCTGTTCTTATATTAAATAAACTACGTTTACTACACAGCATGTGTACAATGATTTTGTTACTCAGAATGTTACTACTCATACAAATAATATTACTAATAACAATAATGACAATAAAACAGCAGCAGCAGATACATGACTTCTCTCCATGACAGAGACAGACCCTCTGCTGCTGCTGCTCCTCGTCTCCTGATTGGTTGAAGCCCGCGTCAAAGCTTCAAAAGCTCAGCTTTGCTCAGCTTCGGCGTCAGAGGGATTGTTGTGATACGCGAGCGTTTCGCGCGTCAAAAGCTTCAAGTGAGCGCGTAGTACGCGCGACTCTTGAAGCTTTTGACGCGCGTCAAGTGACGCCGGGGCTCTCGGCTTCACCTGACGCGCTTCACCATTCACTTTCAATGCAAACCTGACGCTTTTGACGCCGAAGTTAAGTCCGGTGTGAACGCCCCTTTAGAGCCGGGCGGCTTCTTCCGGTACTTCCGGCTCGCGTCAGGACGTTCTGGTGTAAAGTCCTCTGCGTCTGAAAACTAGAGAATGCGCGTCTGGTGAGCGGGGCTTCAGCGTTTGAGCGTTTGCGGTCTGAATGCACCATAACAGAGAGTTTTAACAACTCTCTCACTGTGTGGCTGCGATGCTAATGCTAATGTTTTTAGCTTCCCTTTACAGCAGAACTAACCTCTCGCTCTTGGCACAAACAGACTGCTGTGTCTTCAGGGCCAGACATGTTTATCTTCTCAATTCTCAATTCTCCGCTCAAAGTGCCGCATCGCCGAGTCTCGTACTTTAAGATGTTATTCCTTCAGCACCGCTCTGGTGGAGCCAGCTACAGACGCACTGGTCTCACTGCTGAGCGCGGCGCTGTGGCGTCGCGGAGCCTCGCGTCGCGGATTTTTATTATTATTTCTTTTATTATTATTATCATTTTACATAAACGAGCCGCGGGCCGTATCAAATCTCTTGGCGGGCCTGATCCAGCCCGCGGGCCGCATGAATGACACCCCTGACTTAGAGGGTCCATCTCAATGCTTCGAATGTTGCATGTTATGGTGTTAAATTATCCATCCACATTGGAACTTCGCTTGGGCAAAGAAATTAAAGAAAGTACTCCAAGGAAACAAGGGCTTAAAAAAGTTGCATCATGCACCTTTAAGCAAGCCTGGTGCTAATTCAAAATGTCTCTATAGTATAATGTAGTCTATAAAGCCCTCTTTCCACCAGTCCCACTTGGCCCTACTTTACTCTACTCTACTCTACCTATGTTTCCATTATGCTTATCTGGAATCATATCCTAGCAACCTACCCACAACAAACCAGTATTAAGGGAAATTCCTTGGTAACCATGGCTTCCAGCAGCACTCTGGCCAATCACTGGCAGGTAGAACACTTTAGTACCATCTCGGCTAGGTTAGAACCAGGATCCAGCAGGTACCGGTGCACAGCCGGTGGAAACACTCCCAATCAATAGAGAGTAGAGCTTTTGTTTTACCCTGTTTTATACAATTACGTTCATAATATAAGCTGCAGGAGAAATGCTCCTAAAATGGAACAATTAAATCGACAGAATGACAATCCTGGCAGTGAAACCTGGCTCTAATACCTATTTAATTTGCCCCCCCCTCCCTCTTTTCTGTCACTAAATCTTAACAGTGACATTCTTGACTTTGACACCTGCTGATAGCTATTATTATCAACCCCGTCTGCGCAGCGCGTGGAGGTGTATGCTAATGCTATGCTAATTGCGCGCTTTTCAGCACCTCGGAGAGAGCCCGCGCGCTCGCCGGCTCCTCCCCTCGCGCCAACCCTTGCCTTCGCTTTGCCTCCTCCTCACTTTACCTCCGGATGCAAGCGAGGCACCACACACCCACAGCCACCAGCCATTCACGCACGCACACGAACGTAGGACCACTTTCCTCCTCTGATATGCGCACCAGCTCCAGCCATCGCGGATACTTTCGCTTTTATAACATTTTTGTGAGAATCTGAGATATGCAACACCAGCTCTGTCGCCTCTGAGACTCTCCACGCACCGTCACCGCAGGTTTGCTAACTTGGCGCTGTCTCTGTTTCAAGTTTTTTCCCCCCTCCCTTTTCTGCTGCTTTGAATAATTGACTCGCATTGACTGGTTGACTTGTTGGGTGAAAGGGAAAATCTACTGGAACAGGATGGGGAGCGAGAACTACTTACCGGAGCTTATGGCGGAGAAGGACACGCTGGAACCGACTTTTCATCACTCCATGCGGCTACTGGACCAAGGTGAGCCCCCGTCTTGTAAACAGCGTGGAGGTGATGCTGTTAGCTAAAAAGTGATGCTGGATGGTTGGATGCTTAACACAAACTCGTCGACTCTATGTTTGGTTGTGAACTTAATTCTAGGATTTGTGTGCATATGTTTACATTTTAAGTTGGGGTTGTCCCAAATAGGATCGGTCTACTGTCGTTTGTAAAGTCACACAAACACGGTACAGTATTTATTACAACACCACATTACTGTTTTGTAAATGCAAGATCGTGCAAGGTAGATATTTTTTCCTCATTAACATAAAAAATAATATATAAAATGTCAAATTGTCAATTTTCATTTGACACAGCTCTAGGCTTTCGGCAGTTCCAAGCCTGACAAATGCCATTGCTAAGTTTTGTGATGGCCGCATTAGTGAGACCTCAGCACTCAGTCGACTTGACATTCAGTTAGCAGGCTGGACTTGTCTTCATCCCCATGCAGACATGTGTAAGCCGCTGTGCGAGAGCTGGAATAATCACCCTCTTATTCAAATGTACATGTGTTTCCCCTCTTTGAAGCAAGGAGACGTGACCGAAATGGAATTCTTAAACGGATGGAACCACAGTTTAATTAATCCTCCGCCGCTTTGAAGATGCTGAAAATCTTTTTTTGTTGCTCCACATTTGTCATCCCTCTACTTTTGGACTGTCAGGACATCTAAGTATTCTTCAAGAAGCACTGGTTCAGCATGAAGCAATATGTTTCTTTTAAAGGTAACAGACAAGCAGATTTGGTCCATTGCTTGTGCTGCTGTGGCTGCACTGGAACTAATGCTATGAGCCCCCAGACACTGCTGCTGCGCCGGCTGCTTTATCCTATCTGACAGGCTGGTCCTGCTCACAGCTTGTGCCCAAACATGAGTCCTCAAGGGTTCCCTAAAAACATTCCCCCAGCAAAGTCGGGCATAATTTCTATTTAATGATGCCTTCTCATACTATTACTTCTGTGAATACTGTCGCCCCGTGCATTCGCAATCACACACATCAGATCATTAGAACTTCCTCTGCCTCTCGTGTACTATCCGTTGTACACTTTTATATGATTCAATGTGGCTTTTACTCTTGGGCACAACTGTAGCACTTCATTATAGTCCACTAGACTGGAGTATTTGTTGTGAATAGTATGAAAATATCTGTCAGATCGTATTTGTTTTTATTTGGTCTGGTAAGTGCTCTCTCTGAGTCAGAGCTGGTTTACTGTATCTGCCCAAGGGTAGCTATGGTTTAAGTCTTAGAGCTGCAAGAATATTCACAAGGATATCAAAACTTAAACAGCTCTTAACAGCACTTTGTTCCAGTTGTTTTTAAATATATTTTTCTGTGTTTAAAGAATAATACTCTGCATGTGTTTTTTTATTTTTGCATGGTAAAATCTAAACCAATTTTGGAATGGAACAAGCTAGTTAAGTTAGGGTTAGTATATTCAAATTCTCCTGGACGGTTTTACTATGTGAATTGTGACATCATGCTCTCTCTCTTCAATTTAACCTTTATTAGACTATATATATATATATATATATATATATATATATATATATATATATATATATATATATATACTTTATGAAATACATAAGTGTTCATAGTCAACTAAAACATCACTAAAAAGGAGGCATAGAAAAGCTGTCAACACTCACTCCTAAAACATTTTTTTGTTCCTTATCGATACATTTAATTCATATCAATTATTTATTGTCAATTAATTTAGCTAATTAATTGTTATTGATTTACTCTATTTATAGACACACTACTGACTATACATGTTAGTAGATACTTCTAGTGTCCCTTTTTCATTGTGGGGAAGTTTGTTGTGATTTATTGGGTGCAGAATACTAGTCTTTGCCTGGAACGCTTCTACACTGCTAAATCCACTGGGTAAATAAAGCTAGAATTGAACTTCACTTCAGGCTGTTTTCTTACGGACACAGCAACTCTGGGCAGTTTCCCACATGGATGAAGTGAGTTTGAAGTAAATGTGTACACTATTGAAGATTGAAAGCTTTATATCTGCCCCTGACTCGCTCAATAACGTGTATTTGATATATTGTATGATTTCATTGTTGAACTGGTGCAGCAAAATCCTTTCTTTGAGCTTTATCTTGTCAAGTAATCACAGATATCAGGGTTACATTGTCACTCAGCTGACTGACGTGCTCTGCTGCTGTGCTGGCGTTATTCCTCCGTCTCAGTGTCAGAGGAACTAATTTGGACTTGTCTTTCCAAGTGATTTCTGTAATACACCCGTTCACAAACTTGTCCATTAGGATCAGTTAGAAAGTGGTAGGTAGATGGCAGGGGGCTAGTAGCGGTTGTCTTGATGTTGATTTAATTGTTCAGTTGTTATTGAACTGAAATGCTTAAGTTAAAATATTCAAAATGATGTGTCAAGAGGCAGCAGCGATCACACCTGTAACCCGGTTTATTTTTGAGTCCTTCCAGATTGAACAAAAGGAGACAAAGCTTTTTATATGATTTGTATCAATGTGCACACAAACAGAGACGTTTAAATGTTGTAGGATTCATCACCGTCGATTATAATTGTATTTCTACTCGCTCTTTATTCATCAAGGGAGAGACTGTCCTGCTGTAAACTCGTTCATTTGTTTTAGAATAGACTGCCTTCATTGACAAAAAAAAGGCAGCCCTAGCAAAATACATGGAAAGTGCAAAAACTGTCAAAAAACAATTAACACTTGATTCCCCTCATCCAAGGCATTTCCGTTGTTAACAGTATCCTTCTACAATAGGAGTTTGCTGCTGTCTGTCTCACAAGCATTTATTTGAATAAGGACAGAGCATGTGTGTGCGTGTGTGTGTGTGTGTGTGTGTGTGTGTGTGTGTGTGTGTGTGTGTGTGTGTGTGAGTCAATGCAGAAGCACACGCTACATGAAAGCCCAGTTGTACTATTTTCTTTTTTATTCTCATTTTGGAAAAGGTTTGGCAAAATACAGTAATTACATTAGTCAGCCCTTTAAAAAAGAAACACTAAAAATAGAGCTCTCGCAGGCAAGGCTTTTAATCTCGAGTCTGGTACCTAGATTCACATAAAAATAGATTAAGAGGCAACATGCATAAAACATGCAATATTTGCTCTATGAAATTTGGAATAAAATTGCCAAAAAAGGTTGAATAACTTAATGAAATCTCACTGTTTGAAGATCTGCAAACAGTAATTGCCCAGAGCTATAGAGCAGGTCCAATGTCTCTTTCTCCAATGAGGTGAATCCATTCTCATTTGTAGATAGATGAGGCTGTTTCACTCAGCACTTTGTTATCTGGTGTGCTGCTCAAATCTGGGTTAGACACTTTTAAGAACAAGCTCACCGGCGGAGGACCTCGGAATACTCAATGCCTCATGAAAGACATTTAGATATCATTTCTGACGCTCACACACACTTTTAGTCTTTTTTTTTTTTTGCATACGCTGCAGGTCTTTACTTGAGCTACTGCAAATATTGGCCATTTCCCCATTTTGTGAAACTTATGGAACACGGCTGGTGGTCCTAAAACAAAAATATTCAACTAACACAAACTCTCTATTCTGGGTTCCAGCAAAGTTAGTTTGATATTTCTGTCATGGTAGTTGGACGCCATCACCCAAATTAATCCATGACATTTTAGGAAGTAAGTTGAACTCTGCAGTGAAAAAAACTTGGCTTAAGCCATCGGCAACAACTCCAAAAAAGAGTAAATACTGTTATCTCTCAGTTCCACAACAGATGGAACATGATGTCGCGTGATAGAGCCCTTCTTCTGCCATCTTCCTGAGGAGTTTTTGGACTTGATTATGCAATTGGCAAGGGATCGTAGAGACCATTGGGAGACCGATTGGGGAATGTCTTTGAAAAGTAAAAACACATACAAAAAGGAAAACAGGATAACACTAGGTCTATGGAAATTTCCAATTTCAACCACAAGTTCAAGCCTGATTTCCAGCCACTGTTGTGTAAATGTAGTTTTTAGAATAAGGCTTTATTTAGTTGACTAAAGACAGGGCCGTATAGTCAGACTGTAGCACACATCCAGAGAGTGAGACCAGTGCGCCCAAGTGTACTCATTGTCATTGGCTGCATTTAGTCTTTTCTATAGTAAAACTTGTGGGTGAGACCAGCTAAAACATGTATATTTGTGGGCTTTTTATTCAGAGGATGTTGGTTTTCCTTCACCACATTCATCAAGGTTAAGTCCTGCATGCACCTGAAATTTACAGGAACAGATACAGCTGAATTAATCCCATGCACTATGATATTTTTGTGTGTAAAAAATCACAGCGTAGTGGCATAGTGGTACTGTGACTCCCAGCACTTCAATGCAAAGAAAGTTTGTTACAATTTAAACATGTTTTCTTTGAAGAAGGAAAATACTGTAGTATATTATTAAAGTCCTTGACTTGACTACCATATATCACACTATTTCCCAAATCAGCATCCTTCCTTAAAGCCCCTGAATGTAATTATTATTCACCATATGCCTGGTTGAAACCCGTGTAGTGTTTTATCCTGGAGGCTTGAGCATTTCTCTGTTCTGCTCTTTCCAGATTTTCTCCTGGAGACATTGGCAGCAGAGCGTCCTAATGACTGCATTATTCTCCAGGTGTCGTCTTATTAGTCTTTTGCATGTGTGCACAGCGTCCGTCAGCACATCTCCATATTGTAGGATCCAAACTCCACCTGGTGCAGCTCGCCTGAGGCTCAGCTTGTTGATTTAATGTTGCGACTCCATTTCCATGTAGCAAGTCTAGCTGAGGTGTAAATGCTGCATTCATATTTCAGATGCCACAAGGCTGTACATTTTCCCTTCCTTGTCGCAGAGGGTCTGCCTTGAGCAATCTGCTCGCACGGTCATCCAAGAGGAGACTCATTTAAAGTGGCCAGCCAGAGTAGCTTAAATAATGCAAAGTGCACTTGTTTAGGCTCCACTACGCTGAAAGCTGATACTGTGTCATGTCTCAGAGAAGGACATGCTACGGCCTT